GGCTCCCACAGAGATTTTTAAACTCGTCAACTTCAGCCTAAACCTGCTGGCACTGACGTGGGTGGGAGTTTCACCGGAGAGCGGGCTCGGACCATGGCGCCACGCAACAGAAACCCTGCAGCTGTGCCCAGATGTTCACACCTCAGACCGGAGGACTCTGATGTGTCTGGAGATGCTTCTAGGGCAAACGTGCCTACTGCTTTTAACCCTGGAAGTGGGTGCAAAGTGGGTAAATCAACCTCACCCTCTCCTTCTCCATCTCTGCAGAGTACCTCAAGGAGAAGCTGGACAAATACATGTCGCGGTTCCCAAAAGTGAAGATCCTCCATCTCAAGGAGAGGCATGGTCTGATACGGGCCAGGCTGGCAGGAGCGGAGATCGCCAAAGGTAGGACGAAAGCCATTTTACAGCCTTGTCTGAGCCCCCCCGGAGGTGCCGATAAGCCATCTCCAGCACGGAGTTGTAGTCCCCTCCCAATGAACGAAGGGCATCTTCTCGGTACGCGGAGCACAAGGGTCTGACGGGGTGAGCTGCAGCTTGTCCAGCACCTCAGCACGGCCCCAGCAAGCGGCAGTCGGGATCTCCAGGCCGGGCTGTGTCGGCACTGAAACGGCTGTTTCTGCTGCGATGACCGAGCAGCGAAAGCGTGCTCTGGGCTGTGGCCGGGAGGCTTTTGGGAGCCATGGGGGGTTGTGGCGCCGTCAGCTGCACCCAGAGCCCGTGGGGTACCCAGGGAGGCTGGCCGGCACGGGATGGGTACGGGGCTCCCGAGGCCTGACGCTGTCCCGGGCTCTGCCACAGGCACCGTCCTGACGTTCCTGGACTCGCACGTGGAGTGCAATGTGGGGTGGCTGGAGCCGCTGCTGGAGAGGGTCCGCCTCAGCCGAGCCAAGGTCGCCTGCCCCGTCATCGAGGTCATCAGCGACAAGGACATGAGGTAAGGCGGCTCGTGCCCCTGGGAGACCCAAAGTCTGTGCCAGTGGCTTGAGCAAAACCTGTTACTGGGACGACTGACGCATTAATTACAGAAAGACACAGGTCCAGACCTCCTAACTGGCCTTCAGCAGCCTTTCACAAGGGAAACGTAACGTTGCTGTACACCAGAAGTTGCCATTAGCACTGGACGTGGCCCCTTCATTTGTCACACACGCCTTTTCCCTTTTTCATGTCTTTTAGTACATAAAGAGGATTCCTGATGAAATTTGTTAAAATCTTGTTTTAATTATGTGCAGATACTCATCTTCACTCATTAAGGGTGACATTTCAATCAGCAATGTGACTCAGAATTAGTCATCGCGATCTTTTCTCCGTTTAGTTACATGACCGTGGACAACTTTCAGCGTGGGATATTTACTTGGCCAATGAATTTTGGATGGAGACAGATTCCACAAGAGGTCATCGAGAAAAATAAAATCAAGGAAACTGATATAATAAGGTAAAAAAAAATCAAATGTGAGAGCTTTGTGAACCAACCTGTTCCTTTATTAATAATTGAGCAGCAAAGGCTCCTTCGAGACCAAATGTTGTTCCTTTGCTTGTAAGGACAACCGAGGCAATGGTACCCCGTGGGCAATCACGTCGTCAGACGTGCGCAAAGCCCAGCAAGCCTTTCTCACCTCTCGCAGCACTGCTGGCGTTTTGCCGGTGCTGCCAGGGTCGGGGGATCGTACTATTGCATTTTTCCCTTCCGCGCCCTGTTACGGCTTTCAGGCAGGGTAAAACCACCCAAATATCTATTTTAACATTGCATCGGTCAGCCTGCAGCAGAGTGACAAATCGGGTGGTCCTTGCTGTCTCTGTAGGTGCAGGCTCAGGTACCATGCCCGAGCATTTTGCAGCCCACAGCTTCCCGAAGATTCCCTCATCAAAGCAAGGGGGAAGGGACGGGCGCTTCCCGACCAGCTGATACGCCGTGTGGCTTCTCTGTTCCCAGGTGCCCGGTGATGGCAGGTGGCCTGTTCTCCATCGATAAGAAGTACTTTTTTGAGCTGGGAATGTACGACCCAGGACTGGATGTTTGGGGAGGTGAAAATATGGAAATTTCATTCAAGGTACGTCACTGTCACGCTGCCAGCCTGGCTCGGGTGATGGGGCTCAGCCAGGGCCTCCCCAGGGACAACCCCGTGCTGGAGACCCCATCTCTCCTGGCAGTTTACTTAGGTTTCTGCTTCTCTTCTGGCTTGCACAAAGCCAGCACCCGACGTTTCCCCGTGTTTCTGTCAAAGCAACCTCTGTTTCTCAGGTCTGGATGTGCGGAGGAGAGATTGAGATTGTTCCATGCTCCAGAGTTGGGCACATTTTCAGGAACGACAATCCTTATTCCTTCCCGAAAGATCGGGTGAGGACGGTGGAGAGGAACTTGGCCCGTGTTGCAGAGGTCTGGCTGGACGAGTACAAGGAGTTATTCTACGGCCACGCTTACCACTTAGTCTTGAAAAACGTGGATGTTGGCGACCTGACTCAACAAATCCAACTGCGAAAGAAGCTTCAGTGCAAAAGTTTCCGGTGGTACCTGGAGAACGTCTACCCGGACCTGGAAGCTCCCCTCGTTAAAGCCAGCGGGCTGGTACGTAGCCAAACGCCTTGCTGTCCTTCCTTTAAACAAGGTTTCGGTGGCTTCCTGGACATTTGGTAGCATCCCAGTACTCTGTCTCTGGAGTTGCTTCCTTGGCATTTGGTAACATTTTTGAATATTTACTATGTCACAGTGACCTGGACTCGCCAGTGTTACCGTAAAGAACTAGGTCACAATTCCAAGAGGCAGTTTCCCGTTGAAGAGCCAGTTCAGTGTCTGAGCACCAGATGAGCTGCCCATGCGACAGTCACGGTCAGGGGATGTCCCGCCGGGCGGGGGGTCCGGCATCCTCCCTACCCGCACAGCTTTTTGGCTGGGGCAGGAGGGAGAAGTGGCTTTTTGGGGTGGGCTGGTGGGCAGGGACGGGCAGGGGCCGAGGCGCAGGCAGGGTTTGTGCCGGTGCTGGGCTGCCAGCAGAGCGCAGCAGAAATCCGTGTTTCCTCTGCGCTGCCGCCTCGCAGCATCACAGCATCGGTTTGGTTGGAAGAGACCTCTGGGATCACTGAGTCCAACCTTGGCCCTAGCACCCCCACGTCAACCAGACCATGGCACTAAGTGCCACGTCCAGTCTTCTCTTAAACACCCCCAGGGATGGTGACTCCACCACCTCCCTGGGCAGCCCATCCCAATGCCTAACGACCCTTTCTGTGAAGAAATGCCTCCTCA